GGCAATAAAACAGGTGTTAAGATGTTCACCGAAATATTTTGCAAGGAATCATGTCCGCATTAACTCCACATACTTGTGGTGAACATGCAAACAAAAATATGCTCCGATAATATTTATTGATAGTTCATTTGTGCGTGTTGATATTCAGTTCAAGTGATAGATGCATCGCTGCAGGAATTGGTGTTCAAGGCCGAATAGCGTTTCATTAACACTGTGTGGAACACATTTGTTTGTGCTCTTGAAATATCTGTCCAGAATACGAAGCCTAAGCATGTAAGCTCATTACACTGGTTTACACCATTATGGTAACGATACCCTAATAAATGTGCAATTATTTTTATTATTATTTAATCCCACATCATCGTACCCTCATAGCGAATGCTGCAAGAATACGAGAACTCATTTCCTATCACCCGCTGATATCAAATGAGTGTATGGTGTTGGTGAGATATTTAAATCGGGTGCCACTGAATAGTCAATTAGCCTCTGCCCGTGTTTGTCATTATTTATGCGCTTGTGCAATATTATTAACAGTATTTTAGACGATAGAATCTGAACGGTCCAATTTATTACATCCCGATAAAATGTTCTTATTTTACAGTGAAATTAACAAGTGTAGGCTTGCATCTTCTGGCACTTGATAGTTAATATTGGTCACTGAAGAACAAAAACTCAAGAACATGTTTGGTCATATGCGTATCCAGCGGTGGGAATGTAAATGCAGATTGGCTACCGCAGTGCCTCGTGGTTTGGGGTCCTGAGTAGCAAGGGTCTTGTGCAGGTTGTACATGATAAGGTAGCACTCATTTCACACAAAGTGCTTGCCACAAATGAACCATAATACCTTGCTGATATCGTCAAGGAGCATAAACCATCAAACGAACTCCGGCTCTCCTCGCAGCAGCTTTTGGCTAGCCGTCGAACAAAGACACGTTCAGATGCGCGCCTGCAGCCGTTTGGGATGCTCTTCATATTAGGAAGCCACGAGAGCTATGCACTTTTTTACATCTAGATTGAAAACTAATTTATTTATTGCTGCTTTTTGTGTTTTAGTTTGTTGTCCTTCCCCCCGCACCTCCGATTAGCACGATTGGCTATGTTCGATGCGAAAGAAGTTCAACACACACACGTACATACGTTACAGACGGTGCTGCTGGATGTGGCAGCCAGGGCGCTCACGCGAGAATTCATCTCCGCTCCTGGTCTTGCACCGTCGCATTGCCTTCCTGTCGTTCTAGCCGGGTGGTATTTAAGATCGTGTTGCTCGTATTTAATACCATGCGAGGGCCTGCTCCACTTTATATTCAATCAGCAGGGCCCTTAAAGAATCTGCCGCTGATGCCCTTCGCAGTACGTGTGTGTGTTTTTTTTTACGTGCCAATTTGTTCAAATGAATAGAATAATTTAAATGCTATTGTAAGTAAAACACGAGTGTACATGCACAAGAGAATAACATCAACCAAAGGAGCATACATTTAAAAAATAAAGTCTGGATAAATAAATGTCCACGCTACCTTTCCACAGACATACGTCACGCGGTTTCTGTATATTTACTGTAAATTGAGTAGATTTATTTTGGAACTGGTTCTCGTGTGTCATTAGTGCTGATTTATACATTCACAGAGGTTGCATCAGAGCAGATAAAAACAATATGAACGCAGGCGTTCAAGTGGTTTGCTGCTCAAATGAGCATTGAGACGGTGCTCCTCTCCCGTTCAGATGCATGAGGCAGTGGTGGAAATTCCACATTCCTATGGCAGGGGTGAGTCTATCCATTGCACCTGAATTCTTATATCATGACCTAAAGGTTTGCTGTACTGCTTTATACGAGTGTGTGTGTGTTTATACGCATAGGTAGGGCAATAATGTTTTACTTAATGTTTGTATACAGTATTTCTAGTATGTCTGTATTTACGTGTTGTATAATGACACTGTATTCATAAGTTTGTACCTGTGGTTTTTGGACACCGAGGTAAACACAAGTCTCAAGACCACCCCATAAAAAATGTTGCCAATTACATACAGGTTAGAATGCCAATATCGATTCTTGTAATTAGTTAAAAGAACTAATAACGGCAGGATAAGTGCTAATCTATGTCATGTATGATTATTTTGTGCTGTAGAAGATCCTTAGAATGGATCATGGAAAATTGGATTATTAACTAGTTAAAGTCCTGTATCTGGTGTTAAAGCCAAAATACGGATTTATTTTTATCCTGCAAAGGAAGTAGTTTTTGCAATTCAGATTAAGCGACTTTCATCGCATGCACATGCAGTTCACGTTATTGCATTGCGCACAGATCTACGCTTGTATAAATTCATAGGCCCATAGACTTCAGCTCTGGATTTTTATTAATGGTAAGCATTTAATAAATTGTGCGCGTTAAATTGATCTACTACAACAAAACGTGTTACCTAAATAAATAAAAACAACCCTTATGAACATCTGTTTGGAATACACTTTTAAATGAGCGCATACCTGTTTCATTTTATCGACACCTATATTTTTATTTGATGATTGATATCTTAAAAAAAAATCCCGGTTCTTCTTCACAAATGCCTCTGACAAACAACCGAAAATCAAGCGAAATTATTTGGAATTGCGCGGCTGCTTGTTCTGTAGAAATTAATGAACCTACCCGCAGAAAGCTTCATTGCAAACAGATGTACTTTGATACAATGTTAAGCAAACCTGACAGGACTTTTGAAGTTGCTTCCCTTACCATTTTGCTTTGCTTTGTTTTTGGACGCTTCAAACGAGCACTTCAGCAAATCTGAGCCCCCGTCGTCCTTTGTAGTACAAATGTTTGGCTTTCTGTGCTTCTGAGGAGCGTCTGGTCGTGGTGACAAAGGCTTTGAAGGGTGCGGGATTCACGCGCGTCCTGACTGTAGCAAGGCCCCTCTAAAACCCACTGCACGCCTTTGTAGTATGGGTTTTTTGTGTGTGTGCCGGTAATGGGTGAGGCTCACCTCGGCAGGCAGCCGGCACAGACGCACTCTGAACAGCGCTGAGATTGTGTAAACTTCAGGCAGGCGAGCGAGCGGGCGCAGCAAGCGCATGCGAGGAAGAGAAAAAGGCTCGCTCTCGTCCGACATCATAGGCCCTCTTGTTCACGCTGTTTTAGCCTGTGGGATGTGCTGCTCCTGACGAGATGGTGTCGTGCTTCCCATTCAACAGAGGCGGCGTTGCATCTGTGCGTGCATCTCAGAGTCAAAGGGATTTCCTGCTCAGATCAGCATTGAGGCGGTGCTCATTTCCCATTCACAGCCATGAGCAAGTGGTTAAAATTCCACATTCATATGGCAGGGGCAAGTCTTGCCCTGCCTTCCTGAGGCAAACAACTGTTGACATTCCCAAGAAGCAACGCTTGTTTTATCGACGCCGGAGCAGTGACGGACCTCATCAAAAAAACAAATGGGATTTTGAGCTTGCAACTATTCCAATTGCGAGCCACATGCTCTCCCGCCGAGCCACGGTGTAGTTCGTATGCTGCATACACAAAACGTGAAGGGAGCAGTGGCACGATGGTGGCACTACACTCCAGTGCCACACCACCTGGATTAATAGCTGGGCGCTCGTGGAAATTTATATCGAAACGTGATCCTGCCTTACCTAGGCGAACTCAGTTAACATATACTAGGCGGTGTAGGTCACATCTTGCCACGGTGGTGAGATGTTAACTTCTGCACCTAGTATACAGGAGGTTGTGGGTTCAATCCGGACCCTGACACCTGTATATTTGGAATTTGAATGTTCTCCCTGTGGTCGCGTGGATTTTCCTCCGGGTCCTCCGTTTTTCCATCCACGTTTAGAAACATGCATTGAGAGTATTTGGATGCTACAAACTTGCACGTGATAAGCCACTTCGTTGAGCTATCATTTGTGGCAAGGTCGCTTCTGAAAAAAAGAGCTATTGAGCTCAGTGGGCCTTACCTGGTAAAATAAAAATAGTTTTAAATAGTTTAGATTAAATGAATACCTGGTGGAGTATTGTTAATTATTGCTCAGGCCGGTGCTCCGTCTTCCCTTGCCTCAGTATGTGATACAAGGTGGCTCACGGTACAGGACCCCGTAGTCTAGGGGATGTAGACGCTGTTCGTGTGCGAGTCGGTGTGTACCCAGCGATCCAAACGCGTGACTGTGTGAGCGCTTTTGTGTTGTTTTATGCCTGACGCCTGCACCGATTAAATTCTGCCTTAGGCACTGGAAATGCGCAAGTGACGTAAACAATTGAAGTAGATTATGCATCACTGAAGGAAGTGTAGAGACACTTTACTGGATATAGATACACAATATAATAGCGCACATCAAATACACAAATTTGTCATTATATACACGTTCTTATGCAGTATGCAGTTAGTCATTCGCTCGCCAGTGGCCAGTCACCTTCTTAACACTCTTCTATCACTATTACCACTGTTACAATTCCTGTGAACTTCACTCATTGATTTCTCCTCCGATGTTGACGACATGGCCTATACCAGGCTGTTTCACCTCATCCATCGCGGGTCACATCAACACACTAACGCTCTCACCACCCACTCACCACACTGCAGGTCACAACAACGCACTCACCATTCACTCACCACACTGCAGGTAACAGCAACACACTAACTCACTCACACACTCACCACCCACTCACCAGACTGCAGGTCCCCTCACTTCTCTCTCTGCTCCTTCCCTGCCACCGCTCCACTGTTTGAATTCCCTCCTCCATCATTGTCTCTTTTCCCAAAGCCCTGACAATAATAACCTCGCTAAAAAATCAAGATACGTGTTACACTCTTTATCTGTTACAACGCTGACAATTGTGCTGTTTGTTACTGACCACTTGACACTTTGGACCATTGAGCCTGGTGCTCAGCAACTGCATGAATAAACAGGCCACAAAAACGTGCAGAAAAGTAAGTGTTTGCCGATGACTGGGCGTGACCCCCTTGTGACCTGACGTAACAACAGCATGCGCTGCTGCTGCTGCCGCCACTACCGCGTGCTGCAGATGTGCTGTCGTCGCTGCAACCCACGTCCTTCCTGGGCGAGCATGAGGGCCTGGGCCGTGGCGGTGCTCACGAGTCGTCGCGCTCCTCCGACGGCAAGCTGTCCCTCGCTGTGGGGATCAACAACTGCCTCAACGAGAGGGTACGCACCGCACCACCGCGCCACCCCCCTCCCACTCCTTGCTTGCCCCAACGGGGTCAAGGACCAACTGCGGCCGCCACTGAGCGTCTTTGGAGGTCGGCGTGGCGCATGAGGGGGTGGGGTAGCCAGCATCACACCTGGCCTACTCGCTCCACACAAAAGCAAAGGGCCCCCATATTTATCCTTATAAACTGTATATAGGGTTGCCAGCTTTTCCATGGGGCAAAGCCGCAACATATTTCCCAGCCAGCCTAGGTCTGTTATCGATACCATGCAGTCCACTGCAATGAAATCCAACAGCACACCAATACCGGATCTCGCTACGAATCTATTCCAGCGACCCAAACACAGATGCCAATTCCTGCACTGTCCAGACAGGTGGCAATCATTAAAGGTGGCGTGGCACATGAGGGACGGTGTGACCAGAACCACACCCGGCTGCCTTTGTCGCCTGAGTTCCGACGTATGCATGCTGTAACAAGTACGAATTTAGGTTAACCCAGTGCAGGGCCGAGGATAGGTTTCATGATCAAAGTTATCATTGAACCAGGAGAGAACCGGAGAGACAAGGACAGCCTTATTCACAAGAGTGATTTGGGTCACCAAAATGACATGCTGAGATATCACTTGCTTCTGATGTTATCCATGGCTGGGAATTGAACCTTGGTCACCTGGATAGTGGTGTTGTGTGAAAATCACTGCACCATCACTCCACATTTACACGTAAAAAAGAGATAAAAGCTCCCTCTCTATGTTGGGGCATGCACACAAGCATTGTCACCTGCAATGACGTTTCTTAAAAGCATTCAGAATATTGAAGGAAGAAACTTATGTGGCTCTTTGGTTTGCACAATAAAAAAATGCATGTTTTAAAACTCTTACTCGGATTCCAAATTGGTCGTCATGGGTTTGTTTGAGATGTGTCACTTGCACAAAGCATTAAAACGTGCATTCAGCAAAGGCAAATAATGGACACTGGATTAAATGGCTGTTATTGAACCAGGTGGCTGCATGCTGAGATCTGTTGTCTTTTGTGAGCAAAACCGTAGGAACAATACGGATTTTTAAGCAGGAATTTGTATTGTTGTGTTTCCCGATACAGTCTGTAATTTAGTTTGTGGGTACATTATGAAGCTGAGAGTTGAATAATTCAAATGTACATGGTAGGCCTTGTGAATGTTACTGGATTTTCAGCAACGTACTGCAGTTAAACAAATATATGTTTTTATATTAGAGCTCGTAATTATTTAAAATAATATTATGACAACACATACGAGCGTTTGACAAACCATACGCTGTACACCTACGCATGTGTAAAACAGAGAACATTAATTTCCCTTTGTACTTCTAGCTATTTTTCTTGTTAAAAGCAAGAAACAGCCTTTTTTTAATCGCAGACAATCTGTACAGGTGTACGGGAGTGCGTGATTAGTCGTTGTATCCATGAACCGCTGGTGTATTCATATTTCATTGAAACATTACTGAAAAAGCTAAAAAAAACATGCCATGTAACTGGTATTGGCCGAACATCCCAATGCTAACTAATTAGCTGCAAATTACTCAATTGGGATCGGACACCAGCAGCAGCAACATCGCCCCCCAACTGCGAACACTTGACAGGACCCTCCTGGGAAAGAGTGATGGGACTCACAGAGACTTTCCTGGGTAAACGAGCGGAATAATTCTGTCATTATGAAAATAATTGCAATGCATGCGATGGCAGCAACTGTTGTGCGAGAAATTCACCTATTCGCCAGCGTCGTATTCCCAAGGAAACAATCCCCTGGCTGGTGCGAGGAACCCAGGACGCACAATGACAGCTTAGTTCCTGCGATCTGCCCGTGGTAGTGATTTCAGAGTGATAGCTTTTTTGATGTCTACCGTTCACCAGTTGTCAACAGTTTGGTCACAAATATGAGCTGTTTTCTTTATTATTAGTGTCATACCGGATGAACGGCTTTGCAAAAGATGCACTTAAATGGAGCTACATGCACACCGCCGGCTTATATAGAATGTACTCCAGCTATAACGTGTACATGAACCGGCGGTGTGCGCAATTTAATTAATTAATTGTTCCATTATATTCTATTGCGCATGATGGCAGCGATACGTTCAGGAGCTGATTGTCAATGCCGTAGTCCGCTTGCCACGAGAGTGCTTCAGGAGAGAGAGTTCGTGTAGTTTTGCTATTCCTCCTCCGTAGAAGGAGCACAGACTGCAGTGGCTTAATGTGTGGTTCATAGTTTGATTTTATTTATCACACATCATTGCGATTGTTGACCGTGTTTCTCAAGAAAAGCATCGGTGAGTTGTAAGACACTTTTTTTCAGGAGGGTCCTGTCGAGTTTTTTGCAGTTGGAAGGCGATGCTGCCACTTTGTTATCCCAATTGAGTAATTTTCAGGTGATTTTTAAGCATTGGGGTGTTTGCTGCAGGAGGAAATTGGTGAACCCAGCGGAAACCCATGCAGAACAGGGAAAGACAATACTGACACAAACATTACTCATCTAAGGCTGAGTCAACCTAGGAGAGGCCCAAGACCAGTTCAAATATTCAGCACTACCGTATTATATGGGTGCGAGTGGGAATCGAACTCAAGTCGCCCGGTTCATAGCGCAGTGCGCTAACCTCTGCCCTACCGCTGCCCACCACTCGCTCTCGCACTCTCGCATTGGGCAGAACAGGAGGAGTACATGCTTACTCCATGCAGAAAGACATCCGATTCGGGAATTGAACCCAGGACATTGTGCCACCCTCTTGCCCACATCGCACTTTAATGGGATACAAGTTAATCAAACGCGTACATTATATTTCCTGCACACTGGCACTAACAAACGTGTAAAAACGTGAAGGTGACTACAAACTTTGTAACTATTCAATGCTACACTCGTGTGACCTGACAGTGCATAGTAATATCTTACACAGTTAATGAGGAAACATACATTTCACAATAATTATTAAATTGTAAAGTTACGGAAAGAATAACTAATCATGCCTGAGCATCGTGTTTAAATTATACGCATTTTGTGCATTTTAAGTGAAGGTACAGTGAGGGAAAAAAGTATTTGATCCCCTGCTGATTTTGTGCGTTTGCCCACTGACAAAAAATGATCAGTCTATAATTTTAATAGTAGGTTTATTTAAACAGTGAGAGACAGAATAACACCAAAAAATCCAGAAAAACGCATGTCAAAAATGTTATGAATTTATTTGCATTTTAGTGAGGGAAATAAGATCATTGACAAGATCCCCCTCTCAATCAGAAAGATTTCTGGCTTCCAGGTGTCTTTTATACAGGTAACGAGCTGAGATTAGGAGCACACTCTTAAAGGGAGTGCTCCTAATCTCAGCTTATTACCTGTATAAAAGACACCTGTCCACAGAAGCAATCAATCAATCAGATTCCAAACTCTCCACCATGGCCAAGACCAAAGAGCTCTCCAAGGATGTCAGGGACAAGAGTGTAGAACTACACAAGGCTGGAATGGGCTACAAGACCATTGCCAAGCAGCTTGGTGAGAAGGTGACAACATCTTCTTTGGTTCTTTCGGTAAAGTCACGTAGAATGAGAATAAAATAATAAATTGATAAAATAAAATAACACAATAATATTCTCACGATGTTATTTTATTTTATCAATTTATTATTTTATTCTCATTCTACGTGACTTTACCGAAAGAACCAAAGAAGATTAATCCTTGCAGTCACGAAAGCTTTAAATCGAAGGTGACAACAGTTGGTGCGATTATTCGCAAATGGAAGAAACATAAAAGAACTGTCAATCTCCCTCAGCCTGGGGCTCCATGCAAGATCTCACCTCGTGGAGCTGCAATGATCATGAGAACGGTGAGGAATCAGCCCAGAACTACACGGGAGGATCTTGTAAATGATCTCAAGGCAGCTGGGATCATAGTCACCAAGAAAACAATTGGTAACACACTACACCGTGAAGGACTGAACTCCTGCAGCGCCCGCAAGGTCCCCCTGCTCAAGAAAGCACATATACATGCCCGTCTGAAGTTTGTCAATGAACATCTGAATGATTCAGAGGACAACTGGGTGAAAGTGTTGTGGTCGGATGAGACCAAAATGGAGTTCTTTGGCATCAACTCAACTCGCCATCTTTGGAGGAGGAGGAATGCTGCCTATGACCCCAAGAATACCATCCCCACCGTCAAACATGGAGGTGGAAACATTATGCTTTGGGGGTGTTTTTCTGCTCAGGGGACAGGACAACTTCGCCGCATCAAAGGGACGATGGACGGGGCCATGTACCATCAAATCTTGGGTGAGAACCTCCTCCCCTCAGCCAGGGCATTGAAAATGGGTTCGTAGATGGATATTCCAGCATGACAATGACCCAAAACACACGGCCAAGGCAAGAAAGGAGTGGCTCAAGAAGAAGCACATTAAGGTCCTGGAGTGGCCTAGCCAGTCTCCAGACCTTAATCCCATAGAAAATCTGTGGAGGGAGCTGAAGGTTCGAGTTGCCAAACGTCAGCGTCGAAACCTTAATGACTTGGAGAATATCTGCAAAGAGGAGTGGGACAAAATCCCTCCTGAGATGTGTGCAAACCTGGTGGCCAACTACAAGAAACGTCTGACCTCTGTGATTGCCAACAAGGGTTTTGCCACCAAGTACTAAGTCATGTTTTGCAGAGGGGTCAAATACTTATTTGCCTCCTTAAAATGCAAATCAATTTATAACATTTTTGATATGCGTTTTTCTGGATATTTTTGTTGTTATTCTGTCTCTTACTGTTCAAATAAACCTACCATTAAAATTATAGTCTTATCATTTCTTTGTCAGTGGGCAAACGTACAAAATCATCAGGGGATCAAATACTTTTTTCCCTCACTGTATGACCCCAAGACCACCATCCCCACCGTCAAACATGGAGGTGGAAACATTATGCTTTGTGGGTATTTTTCTGCTAAGGGGACATGACAACTTCACCGCATCAAAGGGACGATGGACGGGGCCATCTACCGTCAAATCT